TCAGCCAGGCGAAGAAATACAGTCCGCCGGACACCCCCCCCTGAGGGCCTGCAGTCGGACGTGATTGGACAGGACGCGCAAGAGGGCATCAGACCCTTCCGAGGGGCACGTTGCCGTGGGAATGCAGGAGGCCGGGGTCGCGAGACACAAGACACGAGGGTACCCTTGATTTGACAGGGTCGCCCTACTGGTCAGGGCCGATTGCACAGGGAGTTCCTTTAATTCTAAAGCATACAAAAAGGCACAGCGACGCGGCATGAAACAAATCAAGGTTTCTGCTTGCATGATGAAGCACCACGAAATGTTGTGGGTTCGCACACCTAGTTCTGCAAGGGATTACCGCCAGTGGTTGTGCTGGCGGTTTTGCTGGTGGTTGTGCTGATGGTTGCGTTGCTGGTGGTTGTGCGGGTGGTTGCGCTGATGGTTGTGCTGCTGTTTTTTCCTGATGGTTATGTCTCTGGTTGTGCTGGTGGTGGTTGTGCTGGTGGTCACGCTGGTGGTTGTGCGGGTGGCTGTGCTGGTGGCTGCGCTGGTGGTGGTGGTGCCAGTGGTAATGCTGGTGCTCATGCTGGTGGTTGCTAGTGTTTGTGCTGGTGGTTGTGCTGGTGGTTGTTCGGGTGGTTGCGCGCGTCGTTGTGCGAGTGGTAATGCTGGTGGTTGTGCTGGTGGTTGTGCGGGTGGTTGTGCTGGTTGTTGCTCTGGTGGTGATTGTGTTGGTGGTTACGCTGGCGCTTATGCTGATGGTTGTGCTGGCAGTCGTTCTGGTGGCTGTGCCAGTGGTTGTGCCGGTGATCTTGCTGGTGGTTGTGCGGGTGATCGTGCGTGTGGTTGTGCTTGTGGTTGCGCTGGTGGTGGTTGTGCTGGTGGTTGTGCTGGCGGTTGTGCTCGATGCTTTGCTGCTGGTGGTTGCGCTGGTGTCTGTGCTCGTGGTCGTGCGGGTTGTTATGCTGTTGGTTGTGCGGGTGGTTGTGCTGGTGGTTGTTTTGGTGGTTGTGCTGGTGGTCGTGCTGGTGGTTGTGCTTGTGGTTGTGCGGTTGGTTGTACTGGTGGTTGTGCTAATGCTTGTGCTGGTGGTCGTGCGGGTGGTTGTGCGGATGATGGTGCTGGTGGTTGTGTTGGCAGTCGTGGTGGTTGCGCGGGAGGCTGTGCGGGTGGCCGTGCTGGTGGCTTTGCGGGTGTTGTTCTTGTGGTGGTGCGGGTAGTTGTGCGCGTGGTTGTGCTGGCGGTGATTGTGCAGATGGTTGTGCGGTTGGTTCTGCTGGCGATCGTGCTAGTGGTCGTGCTGGTGGCTGTGCTGGTGGTTGTGCTTGTCTAGTGCTGGTGACTCTGCTGGTGGTGATTGTGCGAGTTGTTGTGCGGGTGGTTGTGCTGGTGGTTGTCGTGGTGGTTGTGCTGGCAATTGAGCTGGGCGTTGTGCGGGTGGTTGCGCTGGTGGTGGCTAAGCTAGTGGTCGCGCTGGTGGTTGTGATGGTGGTGATGCTGGTGGTAGTGCGGGTGGTTGACTGGGTGCTTGTGCAGGTGGTTGTTGTTGTGCTGGTGATGTTGTGCTGGTGATGTTGTGCTGGTGGTTGTGCGAGTGGTTGTGCTGGTGGTTGTGCTGGTAGTTGCGCGTGTGGTTGCGCTGCTGGTGGTTGTGCTGGTGGTTGTGATGGTGGTAGCGCTCGTGGTGGTTGTGCGGGTGGCTGTGCGTGAGGTTGTCCTGGTGGTTGTGCTGGTGGTTGTGCTGGTAGTTGCGCGGGTGGTCGTGCTGGTGGTTCTGCTGGTGGTGCTTCGGGTGATTGTGCTGGAGGTGGTGTTGGTGTTTGCGAGGATGGTTGTGCTGGAAGCTGTGCTGTTGGTTGTGCGGGCGATTGTGCTGGTGGCTGCGCTAGTGGTGGTCGTGATGGTGGTTGTGCGGGTGGTTGTACTGGTGGCTCTGCTGGTGGTTGTGCTGGTATTTGTTGGGCTGGCGATTGTGCGGGTGGTTGTGCTGGTGGTTGTGCTGTGCGGGTTGTCGTGCTGGTGGCTGTGCTGTGCTGGGGGGTTGTGCGGGCGGTTGAGCGGGAGGTTGTGCTGGTGGTTGTGCTGGTGGTTGTGCTGGTGGTGTTGCTCGATGTTTGCTGCTGATGGTTGTGCCTGTGGTTGTGCTGGCTGTTTTGCTGGCGGGTGTGCGGGTGGTAGTGCTGATGGCAGTTGTGCTGGTGGTTGCCCTGGTGTTCATGCTGGTGTTCGAGCATGTGGCTGGGCTGGTGGTCGCACGAGAAATCAACACCAACACGACCCGCCATCACAACCACCAGCCCAACAACCACCAGCCCAACAACCACCAGCACAACCCTCCAGCATGACCACCGCTAGCAAAACAACCACCAAGAAAACCACACCCCAGCAAAAACGAACACAGCGCAACCACCACCGCAACCACCAGCACAAACTCCAACACGACCACCAGCACAACCACCCGCACAACCACCATCACAACCACCAGCACGAACACCTGCACAACCACCAGCACAACCACCGACGCAACCACCAGCAGCAAAACATCGAGCACAACCACCAGCACAACCACCAAAACAACCACCAGCACATCACCAGCACAACCACCAACGCAACCTCCAGCACAACCACCGGCACAACCACCCGCACAACCACCAGCACACCAGAACGACCACCCGCACAACCACCAGCAAAATCACCAACACTACCGCCAGCACCGACAACGGCACAACCACCACCGCGACCACCCGCACAACCGCCAGCACAACCACCAACGCAACTACCGCCGCAACCACCCGCACAACAACCAGCACAACCACCAGCACAACCACCAGTAAAACCACCAGCAAAACCACCAGCGCAGCCACCAGCGCAACCACCAGCACGGTCACCCGCACAGCCCAGCACAACCACCCGCACAAACACCAACACAACCACCATCGCAACTACCAGCACAGCCACCCGCACAACCACCAGCACAACCAACAACACGACGATGTCATACACATCGTCATGTGGTAAACTAGGTTTTTGAGTCGGACTCACGCGTCGGTCCCATGGCATGGAACAATACAAGGAATGTGTAAAGCATGATCCAAGATGCCTCCAAGTCCGCCCAAGAAACCTCCAAGACGGCCCAAGACGGCCCAAGAGGTGCCCAAGAGGCCTCCAAGACGGCCCAGGAGGCCTCCGAGAGGTCCTCCAGGAGGGCCCGAAGAGGCCAAAATCATTGAGTTTCCTTTGGTTTTTGAAGGACTTTCGGATTTGCTCCTTTTCGGCTTTCCGACGACCCAAGACGGCCCAAGAGACCCCCAAGATCGCCCCCACAGCGCCCAAGGGGCCTCCAAGATGGCCTCAGGACTGCCCAAGAGGCCCCCAAGACGGCCCCAAGAGGGCACAACGACGACCCAAGAGGCCTCCAAGGCGCCCAAGATGGCCTCTAAGACGGCCCTGGAGCACCCCAAGAGGGCCGCAAGTCGGCCCAAAGAGGCCCCCCAAACGGCTTCCGACGGCGTCAGACGGGCCAGGAGCCCACCAAGATGGCCGAAGTTGGCTCGAAGCTGGCCCAAGACGGCCCAAGAGGCCTCCAAGAGGGCCTCCAGGAAAACCAAAAACATTGTTTGTTATATGTTTTTGTAGGTTTTTGGGATTTGTTTCTTTTCGGCTATCCGAAGGCCCAATACGGCCCAAGAGCCCCGAAAGAGCACCCAAAGATCGCCCAAGAGGCTTCCAAGATGGCCCCAGAACGGCCAAGAGGCCCCCAAGACGGCCCAGGAGGCTTTTGAGACGCCTAAGCTAGCCTCCAAGACGGCCCTGGAGCCTGAGGACCCCACGTCGGCCCAGAGGGCCCCCCCAAACGGCTTCCGACGGCGTCAGACGGGCCAGGAGCCCACCAAAACGACCGAAGATGGCCCTAAGATGGCCCAAGACAGCCCAAGAGGATACCAAGAGGGCCTCCAGGAAGGGCCCAAAAAGTCAAGATCATGGATTTCCCATGAGTTTTTGAAGGATTGTGGCGTTGTTTTTTTCTGCCTTCCGACGGCCCGAGGCGGCCCACGTGCACCCAAAGATCGCCCAAGAGGCCCACGACGGCCCCCAGAGGCCCAAGACGGCCCAAGACCAAGACGTTCAAGATGGCCTCCAAGACGGCCCAAGAGCCCTCCAAGACGTCCTCCAAGAAGGTCCGAAAGGGTCAAAATGGCCTCCAGGCGGCCAAGATGACTTCCAAGATGCCCACGTGTCCCCCGAAGGCTCTCCAAACCGATTCGGGAAACAGATGGTCCGATAGCTTGGCAGGTCTGGCCTCAACGTTCGGCCACCTAGGCGCTTCCAAAAAGGCAGGGGTCGGCGGTGATTCGCCGTAGGCGTCTTAGATCAAAAATAATCAAAACATGTGCAAAACTGGCAACAACAAAAAAACCTAAAGCGTCCCCATATTATGTTCTTAAATACTTATTTCTTTCTTTCTTTCGCATCCGTTCGCAGCGTCTCGCTCGGGTGAACATTTCGCCTGCTCAGAGAATCGCCCGGGCAAACTCACAGATCTTCTCCATGTCGGCTCCAGCTCCGGATAGAGACCGGACGCTTGCGCAGAACATTCTTGAATACTATGTTTGCCTACTCCTCCTGTAGAGGGACGGGCCCGCCTTAACACCAGCCGCCCGCCGCCTCCCCCTTCCCCCCACGGACAGGCAGCGATACGGGGGGGGCCCGGCAAGGGGAGGAAACGTCGACCTGGACGGTGCTCGACGATGATCGCCCGGCTAGAGTCGGGGCGTTGACCTAAGAAACCCTAAATAAGCAACGAGGCCCCTTTTTTCCATAAGTTAACCTTCGATGTCCTGTCAAAAACATAAGAAAAGCCTGAGACAAGCTGTGAAACACTTCAGTAACGCGGAGCCCCTCCCCAACGAAAAGGGTTCCTTCTTCAGGGCCCCGACTGTATGGGATTTCTCGCGTTCGCGGCCGAGCGGGGCGCCCGGTGTAAGCATCCCTCGGGCTGCGCGGTCCCCGTGCTTCAGCCGAGGGGCAACGATAAAAGGGGAGGGACTGGCTCGGGGGGGGGGGGGGAACATCCAGCTGGAATCGGCGCTGCTTCGTCGATACATCAGCGATGGGCCCCCGACAGCGAAGCCGCACGTTCCTGGGCCGGGTGGGGCCATCGAACCCCTATCGACGATCCATGGGCGATTGAGGGTGCATACCCTCCGGCGGACAACACTTCCGCGGCGCGGTGGGCGGCCTCATCTATGCGCGGCAGCGCCGCTGGATAAGGGGTAATCGGGGAACAAATGATGCCACAACCGCAAACTTTCAGGGTTGAAGGGGCCCCGGGACACATAAATAAAAACACAAATAAAACCATTCCCCATAGTTTCCTATATTTTCTGGGTTTCTGTCTTCCCCCCATTTGCCATATTTTCCCATATTTTCCTGGGGGTCGACGATTCATTGTGTCTGTGTGTGTTTTTCCCATCCTGACTCATCTATGCGCGGCAGCGCCGCTGGATAAGGGGTAATCGGGGAACAGATGATGCCACAAGCGCAAACTTTCAGAGTTTACCAGCCTCGAACGTGTCCCTATCCCTAAGATTGACACGCCAAAAGGCGATGACAATCTCAGGGATTCGCCCTCAAAACATGAGGGAATCCCCAAGCTTGGCATTGTGATGAGGAGGTGCCCAGCATAAGGATAGGGATATGTTCCAGGCTGGTAATAGGCGGCCTCATCTATGCGCGGCAGCGCCCGCTGGATAAGGGGTGATCGGGGAACAGATGATGCCACAAGCGTAAACTTCAGAGTTCTGCGAGGAGGAGGAGGAGGAGGAGGAGGAGGAGGAGGAGGAGGAGGAGGGAGGAGGAGGAGGAGGAGGAGGAGGAGGAGGAGGAGGAGGAGGAGGAGGAGGAGGAGAGGAGGAGGAGGAGGAGGGTCGGCGTGGGAGCCCCCCGGCGGCGCCTCTGGCACCGCCACTGGCGCGCTCATGCGCGCCGGGGGGGGGGGGGGCGGCCAGCGCCGATCTCCGAGAGATCTGCGCGACGAGGGCCTCCCAGGAGGCCCAAAAGGGGGAAAACGAGGCAAGGGTAGAGGTGTGGGTTCCTCGTCCACCTCCGAAGGCCTTACAACTTCGAGCCCCAAGGTCTCCGAAAGTTTCTGCTTGCGTCATCGTGTGTTGTTCCCCGAGGGTATAGCACCACCAAATCTGGTCGTTCCAGGCCGGGTTCTGCACCGCAAAGGCCATCACCAGGTGGCACAGGGCGAGGCCGAAGGAGCCGACCGTGAGCACCCACCTCGGCCCCAGCACGTCGAAGAGCACGCCGTTCAGCAGCCCTGAGAGCATCGAGACCCCTGGCGCCGTGGCCCTCTGGCCACCGCGAGGGCCGGGGAGGGGGCCCAGCCAGGAGCAGCCAAGCATACAGTCAGGGCCCTGAAGAAGGAACCCTTTTGGTTGGGAAGGGGCTCCGCGTTCCTTCAGTGTTTCACAGCTTGCCTCAGGCTTTCCCTAGGTTTTCGACGGGAAATCGAAGTTTGACGTATGGAAAACAGGGGCCTCGTTCCTCACGTAGGGTTCCTCAGGTCAACGCCCCGACTGCACCCTCTCGAGGCCCGGCGAGCGACACCGTCCGGCGGCGACGTCCGAGCCCTGCCCCTGGAGGCGGGGGGAGGCTTCGGCTGTCGCCGCGTGCTCGCCGCAGTCCGACCCCGGCCCCCGCCGCCCCTCGAGGGGCCCGGGTCGTGGATCGGCGAGGGCAGGGCTCGGAACTCGCCGCCGAACACAGATCGGGTGCTGCTGGCAGTGCTCCTGGCCCAAGGCGCCCGCGCCCCCCGGATTTCGAAGGAGCCCCCCCCCCACGGCCTCCGGAGCACCCCTCACGAGGCCCAGAGGGCCCCAGGGACTCCAGAATGGAGCGAGAAGCTGGGGGCACCTTGGGGCAAACGCACCTTTAGCAGCGCCCGAACAAGACCGCGCCGGAATCCATCGGGGATCTCTGAGACTGGCGGGCCTGGAAGACGCAGCGGGCGCCACGGCCGTTGTTGTGGAGCGCCCCGGAACGCCCTCGTTGTGTCCGGGTGGGCCCTGGGGCGACTCATCACGGTCCTTTGACGGCAGGCACTAGGGGGTAGGGCAAGGGGGGAAGGCTTCGTAGAAGAAGGCTGCTTCTCAGAAGGCGCTGGCCTTACATCTATAGATGAGGCCCGCGCCTTCTAAGAAGCAGGGTGTTTCTACGAAGCCTTCCCCCCTTACCCCGACAGGCATCGGGCCTGGGCCACAAACAGGCTCCACGATGTAAGTCCAAGGAACGGCCTGACAAAACCTAGCCCCTCCTGTGCACAAAGCGGTCCTTATTGCAGCGTCTCGGCTGTAACCCCAATCTGAGGAGGTCATTCCGAGCCGTCTGGAAAGGTCCGCCCCCTCTCAACAACCTCTGTTTTTTGATCAGAACTCGGCTCTGCGGTGGTCGTTCGGGACGATCCGGGCACCCCTGGAACGCTCTCGGCGAGGCGCAGGCGCTAGAGCGCATCCCGAGGCCAGAAAACCTCGATTCTCGCTACCCGAAGCTAGCCCACCAAGGCTCGCCGCCGACACTCAGCGCCGCGCCCCCTCTTGACGCTGTACCCCTCCAGACGTCCTCTGTGCGCGGCCGAGTCCCGGGACTGCCCGAGAGGACCCCCAGCCTGGGTAGTCGAAGCCAATCTGGCGCCAATCTGGCAGGCCCAATCTGGCAAACGGGGGCAATCTGGCGAGGAAGCCAACGCGAATCCAGTCTGGCAAATAACCCAAATCCTCCAATTTGGCCAGGCCAGATTGGCCCTTGGGGCCCAGTCCAATCTGCCAGTCTGGCCTTCGACTACCCAGCCAGCCAGCCCACTCCGGTGGCCTCGCCGCGAGGGGCCCGGACCTTCGACGAGACAGCGCTGCGAGCCGCCGGCGCCCGGAGCTCTCGACACCCTCTCCGAGGACCAGCCTCCTCCCCCGGAGCCGCTTTCTGCTGGGAGGGTCCGAGCATGGCCTGCGGGGGCTCAGTGGGTGGTGCTTCCTGGGGGGGCGATGCGCACTTTGGGGGGGAGGGGAGGTGCGCTCTGCGGACCCTGAAATGCCCACTTCTGGGCCCCGACGGGCCCCTTCAGGAGCCCGACGGGGCCTCTTCTCTGCAGCCCTCCCCCCCCCGCCCCCCCCCCCCCCCAGGCCCGAGGCTAGACGCGAAATTGCCAGCACATCGGCCCCATTTTGCCTCGAGCTGCCCGGGAATCTGGGGGCAGAGAAAGGTGCTCGGGTACAGTCGAGGTACTGGCAGAAGGAACTGAAGGGGCCCTGGGACACACAAATAAATACACACAAATAAAACAATTCCCCATATTTTTCCATATTTCTTTTATTTTCGTCTTCCCCCCCACTTCCTATATTTCCCCATATTTTCTGGGAAATCGATGATTAGTTGTGTCTGTGTTTTTTCCCCTCCTGAAGCACATCGGCCCCATTTTGCCTCGAGCTGCCCGGGAATCTGGGGCAGAAAGGTGCTCGGGTACAGTCGAGTCGGGTCGGGCGGAAGGGGGGGATAGCAAAGGGGGGGTTTGAGAATCAGCTCACGTAGCTGATTTTCCCGGCGCCTCCCAGCGCCGGAGGCGCCCATGTGTCGAGGAATGGGCTCCTCGATGGGGCCGAAACCAGCTGCATGCAACAAATTTCGTAACCCCCCCTTTCCCAATCCCCCTCTTTCGTCCGGCCCGATCCCAATATTTTTCGATATTTTTTGGATTTTCGTCTTCCCCCCCACTTCCCATATTTCCCCATATTTTCTGGGGGATCGACGATTAACTGTGTCTGTGTGTGTTCTTCCCCTCCTGAAACACATCGGCCCTATTTTGCCTCGAGCTGCCCGGGAATCTGGGGGCAGAAAGGTGCTCGGGTACAGTCGAGGTACAGTCGGGGCGTTGACCTAAGGAACCCTACACAAGGAACGAGGCCCCTGTTTTCCATAAGTCAAACTTCGATTTCCGATCGAAGACATCAGGAAAGCCTGAGGCAAGCTGTGAACCACTTAAGGAACGCGCAGCCCCTCCCAAACCACAAGGGTTCCTTCTTCAGGGCCCCGACTGTATTCCCCATATGTTTCCATATTTTTTGGATTGTCGTCTTCCCCCCCACTTCCCATATCTCCCCATATTTTCTGGGGGATCGGCGATTAACTGTGTCTGTGAGTTTTTTCCCTTCCTGGGGAGTGCCAACTCAGGAGCAGAGGGGGCCTTTCTGGCCACGGTGGGCCTGGGCCACGAGCACATCCCGCGGCAGAACTCTCTGAGAAACCACCCACATCCCCGAGCCCCTTCCTGCGGGCAAGACTTCTGTCTATATCCACTGCAGTATGGAGTTTCGGGCTCCCTTCCCAACCAAGATGAATAGACAATCTCAAGGCAACGCAGCAGAAGTCTGCGCACTCGTTGTTTGATCAGCGCACGGGCACTCGTTCAGAAGATACCCGTTTCGTGCCAACGGCTGCGATGAATGGACAAACGAGGAAGCATTGGAAAACCCGAGGCGCACTGGATATGGATAAATTTGTCCCCTAGAGGATCGATGCTTATCCCTATCCAGTGCGCCTCGGCCTTGTGGCGCCGCTTCCCAAAAAGTCCAAGAGGCACTGGATATGGATATGAGTCTTGCACGCACTTCCGAGCCCAAAGCTGGGGAGACCAAAAGGTACCGATACCGCTGCTCACCAGACCTCTCCCAGGAGCGCTCTGACCAGAATCTCGAGGCGGATCCGACGGTGGCGGCGAGGGCCTCCGAGGAGGCCCCAAAAAGGGAAAACGGGCGGAGGGTAGCGGTACGGGTACCTTTTTCTCTTCTGAAAAGCGGCCCTTATCTCAGCGTCTTTGAAGGGGCCCTGGGACACACAAATGAAAACACACAAATAAAGCGATTCCCCATAGCTTCCCATGTCTTCTGGGTTTCTGTCTCCCCCCCCTCTTCCCATCTGTTCCCATCTTCTCCTGGGAGAGTCGCCGATGAATTGCGTCTGTGTGTCTCTTTCCCCTCCCGACTCATCTCAGCGTCGACCCCCAGGGAGCTCCTGGCCCCCAGGGTCGACCGGCGGGAGGGGGGCCACGGGCTGCCGGCTCCCTCTTCCCTGGCCATCGCTCGGGCGTCCATCCCCCTGTGTTTCTGTTCGGTTTCGTGCGCGGCTGTCTCGCCAAAGCATCGAGGCTGCTCCTCCATGGTCCTCGCCGGAGGAAAAAGGCACACGTCCGAGCGGTGCCAAGTCCCAGGCCGGACTCGGCCCTGTGGGCGCCACGTGCAGAGGCCTCCCAGATTGAAGGGGCCCTGGGACACACAAGTAGATAAGCACAAATGACAGGATTCCGAATCTTTTCCCGCGTTTTCTGGGTTTTTGTCTTCCCCCCCACTTCCCATGTTTTCCCAGATTCTCTGGGGAATGGACGATGAATTGTGTTCGGACCCATCTATCAGAGTAGATGGGTCCGAAACATCGCGCAGCATCGCCAATGAATCACCGATGTACCGGCGGCGATGCATCGGCTACGTCGGCGATGCATCGGCGACGTCGGCGATGCATCCGCTCCTCATCGAGCCGCGTCGTCGATGCACCGGCGATGCGGCTCGTTCCTCCGACCCCACATACTCGGACCCCATCTGAGAGACCTAGAATGTGAAGGTCAGGATTGGAGGCTTACCCCCGTCGGTGGGGGGAGCCAGCAAATATCAACACTGCTGCTCCCTGCTGCCCCCGAGCGCCTCTGAATGGAGCGCCTTCTGACTGTATTGCGAGGCAAATCCAGAGGGGGTGGGGCGCGACGGGTCTCGGAGCAAGGCGAGCTGAACATTGGCCTGCGAACCCCTCCTGGGGTCCAAGCACACCAACTTCTCCGACCTTCGTGTGGCCCTGGCGACAAGGAGCCCCCCGAAGCCGGCCAGACCCCGGACGTCGTGTTTCGACCTCAAGAAGTCTGGACCCCTTCCCCAGGACCGGCTCTTCATCCTGAATCGTTTTTCGAATGTCGCGGGGCCCAGTGAAGGTCCCCTGAGGCCGAAAATAACGAAAAACCTCCCCTGACCTTCCAGGGGGGCTTAAGGATAGCACCAGGACCTCGAAGTCGGAATTCCTGTCGTCGTTGTATATAGGCAGCCCAGATATGTCTGTAGGTCTGGAGGGCTACATGTTTTAGCAAGGGCCCCGTCGTGATCTCTTCACAGCGCGAGGGGGTCTGGGACCACCGCTGCCCTGCGCGCGGATGTCTGCTTGGCTGGCCCCCTGCAGGCCCCCGCCACGTCGCTCGGGGCGGCCAGCCGGCCCCGCGGGCCTAGCGCGAGCGAGAAGGCGCTCTGAAATTTGCTGAGCTGGTCGGCGCCCTCCCGGCAGGCGGGCCGGGGCAGCGACGACGACCACGACGACCTGGAGCAGGAGCGAGGACGAGAAAGATTCGTGTGGGAGATCCACTGCAGAATGGATCTACCCAAAAATTGAACTTCTCCTCGGGTCTACCAAACATACGCACACTGATTATATACATGTAGATATACACAACCAGTCTACGTCGTTTTATCGTAGGTTCGACGAGGCAATCAATTCTGGGGTACATCAATTCTGTCGTCGATCTCCTACTCGAGGGATAGGAAGATTGAGCGAGGAGGACGTTGCGGAAAACGGAGAGGGGGGATAAGGGGAGTAGGCGGACGAGGAGAAGGAAGAGGAGGAGGGAGAGGAGCGAATGGCGCAGGAGTGCCCGAGACATCCAGCTGACAAGTGTGCACCCCTGGACGGTCTCGACGCGACCTCACGGCGGTGGGACCCCCGATGTGAGACGACGAAGCGAAAACGAAAAAGACGAAGATGCTCACGATGCAAAGCCTTGCAAACGTGCGAGAGGAGGATCAGCAGCATGCTGACACGCAGCATCAGGAGGAGAAGGTGGGAGGGGGAGGAGGAAGGAGGGAGAAGGACGACGGCGACGACGAGAAGGAAGGAGGCGGGAAGAGGAAGGTAGGAGGGAAGAGAGAGGGAGGAGAGTGAGCAGGGTGAGGACGGGGGAGTGCCAATGTCAGCATTCGATCAACAAACAATTTCCCCCCACCCCCTGGCAGATGAAGGGACCCCGCGGGGCGCGAAACCATGTTTAATCACGCGCGCCGGGGGTCGTTGCTGGCGCCGCCGAGGGGAGCGTGTACCCCCTGCACGGCAGCCTCAAACGATTGCCTTTCGTATCGGAGTTCTCCGATGTACAGGTAATTCACATCCGATGCGAATTTGTTTCCCCCCTCTCGGGCTGATTACAGACGTGCCTACAATCGTCTTCGTCGCCGCCGTCGCCGTCGCCGTCGTCGTGGTCGTCGTCAACTACAGCTACAGCGGGCCTACGCAACAACATCCCCCCATGGGACATCCGCAGTGCGTTGTCGCCATCGTCGTCGTCCACGCGCAAGACGGGCCTGCGCAGCATCCCCCCCGTGAGGTATCCGCAGCGCGCTGTCGTCCGTCGTCCGTCGTCGTCGACTACAGCGGGCCTGCGCAGCACCCCCCGCCCCTTGGCGCATCCATCCGCCGAGCGCGCGCGCGCGCGTCGTCGGTCGTCCCGTCGTCAGCCCTGCCGCCGTCAACGTCGTCACCGACTACAGCGGGCGGGCCTATGCAGCACCCCCCCCCATGGGGCATCCACAGGCAGCGCGCGCCCCCCATGGGGCATCCGCAGCGCGCCCGCGTCGTGGGTCGTGTCGTCGTCGTCGGCCGCCCTGTGGCCGTCGTCGTCGTCGACTACGGCGAGCCTGCGCAGCACCCCCCCCCCCACATAGGGCATACTGCAGTAGAGGGAGAGACGGGGAGGGGGGTGGGGAAGGGGAAGGAGGGGTCATGGCCGCCCGCCTCTTCCGCTCATCCCCCTCCCTCCCTCTCCTGCTTGTGGCCGTGTCGGCACCGCCCGTCGAGTGTGAGGCGCCTCTCCCTCCCGCCTCCTCCTTCTCTCCTGCATGTAACAGTTTAGCCCAATCGCCCCGCTGCAGCGCAGGCGCTGCTGTCCCCACCCCATGAAGCGGCGCCGCTCGCGTCGCGCCTGTCGCCGTCCGGCTGGCGGCCGGGTGTCGGCGCTAATCACAAGCACCGCCGCGGTGCGGCTTCTTTTGGCGGAAGTCCCGCCGCGATTCGCCCGAGCGGGGGAACTGCCATTAGGTCGGGCCTGTCCCCCTGCAGGGGGATTGTGGACGAAAAACTGAAATAGCCCCCCCCAAAAAAATCCAACCATGTTCAAACATAGTCAAGGCATCGTCGCCGGACTACGTTTTGATTATGGTTTAATTTTCCTCCTGTAGAGTAGAGGGACAGGCCCGACATAAAACTGCTTGTTTAAGTCGCGCGCCTGGCTTGTTTCTGCAAGCTCACGAGCTGACATGAGGGAAGAGGGTACTACAAGAGGAGGGGAGGGGAAGGCGCGGAGTGGGCAGGAGGCCACGGAGAATCGGCACGGCGCAGAGATGCGAAGGATGACGCGACCGGACGGATGAGGAGGAAGAGCGGGGAGGAAAGGGTCAAAGGAGGAGGAAGAGGGTGCCCCGGCCTCCCAGACGTGAGCCTTGACCAGCAGGGGCTCCAGGGTGGCCCAGGACTGCAGCGGCCCCGACGCCAGCGCGTTGAAGACCGTCACCGCCGAGGGTCGTGGGGCCCCCGCCGCACCCACCGGCGCGAGCCTCCTCCTCCTTCTCTTCCTCCTCCGCCTGCTCCTTCTCCTCATCCTCCTCCTTCCCTTCCTCTTCCTCCTCCTCCTCCTCCTCCTCCTCCTTCTCTTCCTCCTCCTCCTCCTCCTCCTTCTCTTCCTCCTCCGCCTGCTCCTTCTCCTCCTCCTCCTCCTCCTCCTCCTCCTCCTCCTTCTCTTCCTCCTCCTCCTCTTCCTCCTCCTCCTCCTCCTTCTCTTCCTCCTCCGCCTGCTCCTCTCCCTCCCGCGAGGAGGGGGGGGATAGAGAGGGGCGGAGGAGGCAGGAGGAGAAGGACGAGGGGACGGAGAAGATGAGGAGAGGCGGGACGAGGGAGGACGAGGAGGATGGCAAAGCACAGGAGAGGCGGGAGGAGGGGGAGCAGAAGGAGGGCACTTCAGAGGAGAGAGGGGGACGATGAAGGCGAACATTGGGGAGGAAGTGAAGGGATGAGGGAGGACGGAGGAGGGGAGATCAGGGAGCAGGAGAAGGGAATCCAGTCGACCCACATAGTAAGGATTGGCAACCTTCCCAAGGCTGCCCTTGCAGCCTTGCCCCTTTCGGCCCATCCTCAGCGACTTTCGCTCGCCAACCTCGCTCGACAAACGTCAGCATGGGCCTCCAAGGCCCCCGCATCCTTACCGAGCATCCGGATGATAGGGGTTGACTGTAAGGGGAGGCGGCAGGAATGCTGCGAAGGGGGTGGGAAGAGGAGGATCGAACGGGGAAGGGCCCCCCCCCTTCCCTCCTCCGTCCTCTCGTTCCTTCCTCTGCCCCCCGCTCTTCTTCGTACTGGTCTTCCCTCCTTCACTCTGTCGTGATCGTCGTATCGTCCGCCTTGCATCGGATCGTACTTGAGTCTACGTGCCAGACGAGCATCTGCTCTTGGCGCCCGTAATGGCTGCCGAATAGGATGGCAATATCGAATTGCGTGCGGGCGAATCCTGGACAACACGCGCCTGGGCCAGACGAGCAGTGCGTTCTAGCCTTTCCTTTCTTTGCCGCCCCACTTGTAAGACGAGAAAAATATTGACACAATGTGTTATTGATATATTCGGGGGACTCCAGGATTTCTAACAGCCTTCGCGCGGGGTACACTTTACGTCGAATATTGCCCGCTCTGCCTGGCGCCGCGCGGAAGGACGGAAAAACCTGGAACTCTTGAGAACTATCAATATCAATACTTCATGCTCCTCTGAACGAATGCTCCTGGCAGTCCCCACTCCCTCCTCCTCACCGACCTCCTCTTCTGCCTCCCTTCGCACGCTTCGTCCCTCTCGCCGATCGGGCATCCTGCCGGGAACAATCTTTTAGCACGTCGGCACCTGCATCCGCAACGGTGCCACTCCACTCCGCTTTCGGCTCCGGCTCTGGCTCCTCATCTTCACCCCTCCTCTAGAAGCCTTCGAGATGGAGTCCGAGTAGATGGGGTTGGAGGATCACTCCGCATCACCAATGCATCGTCGATGCATAGGCGACGTCGGCGGTGCCTTGGCGACGCCGGCGTGGACAAATGGGAGCTGCGAATCGAGCCGCATCGCCGATGCATCGGCGATGCGCCGCGATCCTCTGACCCGATCTACTCCCATCCCATCGGGGGGGCCTGGATCCTCTCTCAGGAGAGGCGAAGTGCAGACGGCGTAAGTCCAGACGGAGACCGAGCACTCCGTATGGACTTACTCCGTATGGACTTAGCCTACTGTCAAGGTAAGCCAAATCAGAACGGAGTAAGTCCATACAAGGACCGAGCACTCCTTAGGATTTACTCCGTATGGACTTGGCCTCCTATGCAGGTAATCTTTGGACGCCCGAAATGGGTACGGAAAGAATGGGTACAATGCCCAACAGCAGTTCCTGTTCATTCTGAACAGGACTCGCTGTCGGTGACGCCGCGGCCTGTGTCCATTTGAGACAGAAGGCCGCCTGCCCAACAGCGACCGCTGTTGGTTCGGGACAACATTTGTTGTTGGGCATTGTACCCATTCTTTCCGTACCCATTTCGGGCGTCCAAATATGCAGGTAGGCTAAATCCAGACGGGGTAAGTCCGTACGGAGACCGACCACTCCTTAGGACTTACTCCGTGTGGACTTTGCCTCCACGGACTCACGTCGGCCACGCTGGCACGTCCGGTGAGGGCCTCACGGAGAGGCTAATCCAACGCCTTCTGCAAGTGCGACGGCCGGGTGGACTCGGGCGGAGGGGGGCACCGACCTCGGCGCACCGCAGGATGCCTGCTCGGCTCATGCCCCAGGATGAGGAGGGGGAGGAGAAAGCGGGCGTGGAGGGGAAAAAGGAAGAGGAGGAGGACGAGGAGGGGGCGCTGATGATGCGGCAAAGTCGTCCTCTGAAGTGGGGGCACAATCGACCTGGAATCGGTGATACATCGCCGCTAGATTGGCTCGGCATGGGCCCTCGATGGAGGTACCGCACGTTTCTGGGCGCCTATCGGCGATGAATGGGCGACTGTGGGTCGATATGCATCCCCTTTGAGCCGACCTCCACCCAACGGTGCCCCCGAACCCAGACTCCCGACGTGATAATTTTGTTCATGAGATTGACCCCCAGAGATCTCGACCAACTCCCGGGCCCGCTGTCTCATGAGCGCAGTTTTCATTCGCGGCCATAACGGGCGCTATGGGGGAGGGACGGGGGGGGAAGCGGCCCCTCCCAGACTGTGGCTCCAGACTGTGGTGCTGGACTCAGTGCCAGGGACGCCATGAGGGGGCGAACGTTACGTTAATTAATGGATTCTAATGGGGGGAGGGGGGGGGGAGGGTAGGAGGATCAACGCGCGTTATGGCCCAGAGGGTAAAACGCAGTCTCCATCCTGAACGGTTGCTTGACAGTGCCGGTGCCTGGCGAGGGCACGCCTCCAATAAAAACGGACCCGAGGGGGGGGGGGGGGCCCATCGCCTGCCCTCCGCCGAGGCTCGCCGCCGCCCTCCGCCTGGGCCCCCCCCGGTCAGGTGCCGAGGCATCTGCAGGCCGGCGGCCGCGAAGACGTCGGGGCCGGCGCCCGCGGGCCCGCGGGCGGGCCCGGGCGCCGCGGCGGCCTCGGCGCGCTCCATCTGCGGCGCCCCCCGGCCCAGGCGGGGCCGGTGCAGGCCAGCATCCCCGGTCTGGGGTGCGCGGCGGGCCGGCAGAGGGCCCCCCCCCCGGCCGTCCGAGCCGGGAGGGCGCGCGTCCAGGGGGCACCTCCATGGGCCCGGCCGGGACTGGCCCGGCCTCTCTTTGTGGCCGGGCGGGCGGCCGCGAGAGGGGAGCCCCCTGCTCAGGGGAGAGCTGTCTCCTTCCTCCTCCTCCTCCTCCTCCTCCTCCTCCTCCTCCTCCTCCTCCTCCTCCTCCTCCTCCTCCTCCTCCTCCTCCTCCTCCTCCTCCGCTTCCTCCTCCCTCGCCCTCTGCTTTATCCTTCGCATCGTCCTTCCGTCGCCCTTCCTCCTCCGAAGCTCTTCCTCCATCGCGCTTCCTCCCTCCCCTTCGCCCCTCCTCCTCCTCCTCGTACTTCTTCGTCCTCTCTTCTTCTACTTCTTATGTTTCTTCTCCTCCCTCTGGGCAGGCTCCCAGGGGATTACTGGGGAGCACCTCAGGAAATGGAAGACCAACGGGTAGATGAGCACCCGAGTCGCACAAAGGGAATAATGTTCCACATCGGCAACCTGTTCACTTGCACTGAATAGAGCTCGAGAAAATGAGGCCCCCAATGTGCCTTCTGACACCGCCCTCCCTCGTGGAACTCTGGTGGAGTCCTGGACAGTGCTGATCGAACCGACTGCGTACACCGTTGGCTGCAGCCGAGGCACCCAGAGCTAATGTGCACTTCGCATCGGTCGAATGAGAAAGTAGGCAGAGGCGAACCACATTCTCGTGCATCGTGCGCCAGGACGCACACTGCATCTCAAAGCACGGACGAGCTCGTCAGGGCGATGCTGCACTTCCCCCTCGACCGAAACGGACAAAGATAGAGCGTAACGACCAACGACGGCAGTGCCCGCATGTGGGCCCTGACGACCTGAGCAGCGACACCCGAGGTTCTGGGATCCAGCCTTCAGCGCGCGCGCGCGCTCTCGGAGAGGAGCGTGAAGGGGAGGGATGACACCATCAGCGTCACCGATCGGCCGCACGAACACCTGCCCATGGATCCGCTTGCAACTCGGACGACTACCTGCTCTGTCAGGCAGAACATATTGTCGGCGAGACGCCCGAGTATCAAAGTCATTGTCCCCTTGGACAAGTTACTCACCGCAGCTGAACAGTGTCCAACAGAAAAACGGCAACTGTAAAGATGACGGACGGGACGTTACCGAAGACCGCGCCGACGAGGAGGAGACCCTGGAACCTGTCACATTGGATCGCTCGAGCGAATAGGAGCTGGTGGTCAAGACGCAAAGGTCGCCTCGACGATGCACGCGCAGCACACGTTGGTGCCCTGGGCGGGCGGCGAAAATGGCCTGATTCACGAGGTGACCGAGCATCAGAATCACCTCCCAATCTTATCCATGCAACTGCATGCAGCGCGCCCGAACCTTCACTAGTGTGGCGAGTCCGATCCGCACTGCGGCGAAGACATGACCATGGCCAGGGCGCGGACCTTCAAAATCGTGCAAGACGTTTGGTCAGGGAGTGCCAACCGCCCATGCGTGGAGGCGGTGATTGCGGCACGGACAAAAGAGACAAGCCAATCAGAGGTCAGCTTGTAGCCTGACGGCCTTGAGCCAAAATGAGCATGGAAACATGATAAGGATGAGCTGAAGAAAGACGACACGACAGGAGGGAGGGGAGTCGACAAGCAGGAATGGAAGCAGGAGGAGCAGAATGAACAACCACGATGCCCAGATGCCCATGGTGTCAGAAAACATTCCAACCCAGGGGTCACGAGAGCGCCAGAAGAAGTGCAAAACAGCTGCCAGGACATGGAGATCGGGTCCCAGCTGTTGATATTACTTGGGGGGGTGTCTGTTGAAGCGGTCGAAGCGTCCGCGACAGCGAGCGCCGCGGCGGCAACGACGACGACCATTCGGGCACACGCCGCAGTGGACCCGTGGACATGGCGTGCGGGACGGTAGCCCCCGAACGCATGGCGCCAGTGCCGCCTTACCACTCGCCATCGCTAATTAGGACGTCCATTGTTTGTGTATTTATCGCTTTCGCGCGTATTTTTTTCGCTCGATGGTCCCAAGATGCTCCTCGATGGTTCTCGCCGAGCAAAAATGCACACGTCCGAGAGATGCCGGGACCATTTGGCGACGGAGCGCGCCGAGTCGGCACGCGGACGGGGCCGGTGGCAAATCCGCGCGCCGAAAGGCATGCTGGAGCCCACTTGTCCCATGGCAGTCGGCCTTGATATTGGGCAGGAGACACGCGCGAGGACACGAGACCCTTCCGAGGGCCACACTGCCATGGGGGGACGTAGGAGGCATGGGTCGCGAGGCACAGGACACAAGGGCACCTAAGGGTACCCTTGATTTGGCAGGGTCGACCTACTAATCTTCAGTCGGGCGTGTCCCCCTTTCAGGGGATTTTTCGACGAAAAATAAAACCTAAACATATTCCCAAATGGTCAACAAATGCTAAAAAAATAATCCCCAGACTATTGTTTGACTATCTTTGAAGATTCCTCCTGTAGAGGGACAGGACCGCCTTAATTCAAGGGGCCCAAGGACACACAAATAAATACCCACAAACAAACTGATTCTCCATATTTTCCCATATTTTCTGGGTTGCTCTCTTCCCCCCCACTTCCCATAGTTTCCTATATTTTCCTGGGGATCGACAATTAATTGTGTCTGTGTGTTTTTTCCCCTCCTGATTAATACTAATTAGGGCAGACTGTATTCGCGATAAAGCCCGTGGCCGTCCCCGGCCCCCTCCCCCCCACCCCGCTGGTCACGTCACGCTGCTCGCTAGCGCCGTCGGGGAAGGAGCAAGCCTTTGGCCTTCCCGGGGTCGGCGCTGGCGCGATTCGTGACGCGACCAGCTCGTCACCGGGAAAAAACACAAAACACACAACAAAACAGTGTGTGTTGTTTTTTTCCCACAGTGTGTGTTTTTTCTAACAGTGTGTGTTTGTTGTGTGTGTGTGTGTTTTCCCCACAGTGTGTGTGTGTGTGTGTTTCCCCACAAGTGTGCTGGTTTTTCCCACAGTGTGTGTGTGTGTGTGTGTGTGTGTGTGTGTGCGTGTGTGTGTTTCCCACAGGCTATCGCCAGGGGGTGAGAGAAAATCCCCTTGCGATTCCTCGAAACACTCTGTCTGTCTGCCCGCGGCGCTGCTCACACGATGCTCTGCGGCTGCCCGCGTGAAGGCAGGGCGAACTAGTCCAGGTCCTGACTCGAAGTCGATGTTTCCGCCGATACTCTTTCAGATCCGCCCACTGCTCCTGGTCCTGCTCCTCCAACCCAGACCACTGATGTAGGGATTTCTCCGCAACGTCGACCCCAAGAGGAATGGACCCCTTCCCCGCGACCAGTTTTCTTCCCCTGAGTCTTTCTTGGATGGTCCCGAGACACGGTGAGGGCTCCCAAAAACCGAAAATCGAGAAACCCCTCGCGTGATGATTTTTTTCACGACGCGAGGTTCCCCAGGACCGGGTTTTCATCCCGAGTCATTGTTTGAACGTCCCAGGGTCCAGAGAGGGCCCCCAGAGGCCGAAAATGGTGAAAATGGCGAAAAACCTCCTGACGACGACGACGACGACGACGACGACGAGGAGGGCGACGACGAGCGCGGCGACGATGGGGTCTGGGAACCACGGCGGTGGCGGCGGCGGCGGTGGTCTCCCGCCCGCCCCCGCGAGGCGAGCACCCGAGGCACTGGCGGGGCACGGGGCCAGGAGCTTGGGCTCGAAGAAGGCGGGCCTGCCGCCCCTCCCCGTTCGCCTCCTCCTCCACCTGCTCCTCCTGCTCCTCCTCCTCCTCCTCTCTCACCCTCCTCCCCCTCCTCTGCCTCCTCCTCTGCCTCCTCTGCCTCCTCTGCCTCCTCTGCCTCCTCTTCGTCCTCCACCCACGTACAGTTCCTGCTCCTCATCCTAATCCACCTGCTCCTCTTCCTCCTCATCCTCGCTCTCCTTCTCCTTTTGCTTCTCCCGTCCCTCCCGCCACAACCATCATCATCACTGTCATCACAACCACCACCATTCTCCTCCTCCTCTTCCCCCCCTCCCCGTATAATCCCACCAGCCCTCCGGGCGCAGGTGGTCCAGGGCGTGTCCTTCTCCAACCTCCGTCCTTTCCCTGCTCGGGAGTTTCACCCCCCCCTTCCCTGGGTCTGGACGGCGGGGGCCCCGATGTGTCAGAGCGTTTTTTTCCCCGAAAGATGGCTCCAAGAGGGCTCCAGAGACCCCAGAATAGCCTCCAAGATGGCTCAAGATAGCTCATGATAGCCTCCGACACGCATCCAAAGAGGCCTCAAGAAGGCCCCAAGAGGGTTTCAAGTGCCCTCCGAGCCGAGGACCCCCCCAAGAGGTCAAAATCCTTCAAACACCTAAAGAACCTCAATGTGGTCTGCCTTCTCGTCGTTTCGCCTCCGATGGGCTCTTGAGGCCCAAGACGGCCCAAGAGAGCCCCAAGAGGAGCCCAAGAGGAGCCCAAGAGGAGCCCAAGAGCGCCTCAGGAGCGCTGCAACAGCGACCAGAGAGGGCCCCAAGACGGCATGTTGGGGCCTCCGGGGGGGCGAGCCGAAGTAGAACCTCCCTTCTTTCTGAACGACGGGGGCCAAGACGACCCTAAGAGAGCCCCAAAAGGGCTCCAAAGACCCTGCAATGACCCTGCAAAGACCCAGCAATGGCCCTGCAACCGCCCTGCAATATCCAACCTCCTTCCTCCCCTGCTTGGAAGGTTTACCTCCCCCACTCCCTGGGCGTGACTCATAGCAGCGTCCAAGATGGGCCAAGACGTCTCCAAGAGGGTCCTAAAAAGCCAAAGATGGCCTCCTCTTTTTTTTGTTGTTGCTGTTCCTCCTCCTCCTCCTCTTCCTCCTCCTCTT